GGGAGTGGGGAAAGACGTTGGCCTGTTTCGCAGAATTGGTTTGTTCCGGGTGAGGAATAAGGATATGTGCAAACAGGATCTGGGAAACCCAGGAGCTTGAAGAGGGTCAGAGAGCTGGGGTAGAGTGTAAAACTGGTGATGGGAGGGTTGCAGAGACAGAGGAGGCAATGGGGTGGGTCTTGGGAAGAGAAGCAGGGAGTAGAAGGGTTGGGGACTGGGGACAGGGCAAAGCAGCAGGTGATGGGAGGCTCCAGGTGACAGGCAGAGGATGAGAGAGTGGTGGGAGCATGCTGACAGCTAGGGAGTACATACAAGTGTGCTCGAGGAGGCTGGTGCTGCCTCCAAGCCCTTGGTACCTCTCTTCACTGCAGCTGCACACATCCCAGCCGCTGACATTAGAAACCTGACTGGTGCCAATGAAAAGCCCACTTATGCCCAGGCCTCCATCTGATGACTCCACTGCCTGGCCAAAGCCTTGCACCTGCCCCACTACTGGGGCTGTAACAGACTTCTTGCTGCTCCCCTTCTGCTGTGACCGAAAAGCAGGATCCTTTTCTGCTTCTCCTCTCCTCCCCCGAGGTGAGCTGGAAAGAAGCTGGTGGTCAATGCCCAGGGCCCTTCAGGGGCGCAAATAGCTGAACTAGTTGGAACTAATTGAAAACACACAAAAAGCAGCAGGATTTACTGCCCGGTCATCTAATCCCACCACTTAATACTGACCCACTTGAAGTCACAGTGTGTGACAGAATGACCAAGCAACGAGGACAGGATTATAGAACCCCAAATGAGATTACGCTCCTTGGTGGGGACTCAAGCTGCTGGGGGCAGGGAAAAGATCTGTGCTGAGCACCTAGCAGGGGTAATAAGACCAGATATCCAGTGCTCTGTCTGCTTAGAGAGCATCAAAAATAGACTCTTTGGAGAGAGAGAAAACACCCAAGCAGGCCAGCTGGGCAGACTCAGGGCACTTGGGACACTGACAGCTCCTCAGCCTGTAAAATGAATTGGCACAGGTTTGTGCCAGTGTTAGCACAACTGTGGCTTCAAAACAAAACAGAGCAGGGGAAGGGAGCAGGAGGAAGGGGAGGGGAGACAAGCCTGTACTTGGCTAACTAAAACTGTAGGCTATTTAAGATAGAAAGGGTGAAAAGGGCCAGGGGATCAGAGACAAGGAAGGTGAGGCTGTGCACAGATTGCAGCATCTTAGCCCATGGTAAATAGATAAATAGCAGCCTATCACACAAAACCAGTAATCAGAGAGCCAGCCACATTTTCCTGCACAATGGATAAAAAGAATGAAGAGATGGGCCTTGCCCAAAGATCTTTTCACAAAAGATCATGATGGATCCTGTGGGAGCACAAGAAAATCAGTTACCACAGCTCAGAGAGAGAGAGGACAGGGCTATTCACAGTGGGAGATGTCTCCAAGTACAGGAGCCTGTATATTTAACGTCATTTACTGAAAACAGATCTGTACGGAATACCCTTTCAGCCCAGAATCTCACTGTGTATTTGCCACCAGAAGATGCTCACTTGCAAAGTCTGAGGGTCCACTTCTTAATACAAAAGCATTTCTTCCTCACCCATTAATTCAACTGAATCAGGAAATAAGACAGATCCTCACATTCACTTAGTGGTAAAAGTCATGCTTTCCATGCGAGCTGCAGGAGCTTAGTGCTTCTGAACTGGTCATCTCTATAGGTTCCAATTTTAGCATGATCCTTTAAAGGCTGAAACCCAATGAACCTGTTCAGGGCTCAGTTTCCCATCTACACTCAACACTTAGCACAGGCTAGCTGGATACCCTTAAAGCTTGGCATTGGAAAAGCCAGGATAAGCCTTAGAAGTAGTATGCTCTTTCCTCCCTCCCTAGAAACTTCCCCTTAAGGACAACACTGCAGTCTTGTCTAGCATTTGTCAGCTCAAAGTGTTTTCCAGATAATTAGTCATTTAAACTTCTCTCACGCAGGATAACCTAGCTCTGTTATACCTCCTCCTCAAGTGAGGAAGTAAGGGCGTTGACAAACATTTAAAAGCAGCTGAAATCCAGGGCAACAGCAGCTGTTACCACCCGTACCTGCTTTAGCGCTCCACTCTTACAAACAGCTCCCTTCACAGCAGCAGGGACAGCTAAATGGAGACACGTCCACACCCAAGCCATCACCCTTCACATCCTGAATAGCTGAGGAACCCCAGCTCAGCACTTCTGTACTGCAACACATCAGGCTGTAAATCACAGCCATTCAGCCCTCCATGCCCAAAAGACAACAAATTTAGTCTGAGAAGGGACAGGAGCTGCTTTAACCATTCCTGACTATTACACCATGAAGAATGTAAATGTATTAAGAGTGTGATTCCACGAGCAGCAGAGCTAATCTGTCTTCTTCCCACGACCAGGAAGGGAAGCTCTTGGCTTTCCATTCCTCTGACCATACTCCTCACAATGCAGTCCTGTCCCTTCCCTTGTGCTGGCTCAGACACTTGAGACACATTTGTAGGCTCAAAAAACAGTGTTCCTTTTCTTTCTCTTTGTGGATTACCTTTCTGACAGATTAGAGATAACCTGAGGAGGTCCAAACTGCTGATGCACAGTAACCCACTGGGAGCAGGAGCATTACCCCATTTTGGAGGAAGAGAGATGTCAGATCAGCTCACTGGCTCTTGGATCTGTACCCTGAGGCACATAGAAGCCAGCAACTTGCTGGAGGCCAAATGCCAAAGTGGTGAAGGAAGATAGGAGTCATATTTTTCCTCATATATTCAGAGTAATTTAAATGTCAAAGTTGAAGCAAAGACATGAACAGTTCTTGCTTTGTTATAAGAATCAGTAAATCAATCAATCCAATAACAACCTCTGAATCCTATCAATAGATCATTTTCCACCTCCCCAAATTACCATGCAGGAAAGACTCTTCTGGTCCACTTATAGGTTGCAATATCTCAAATGTCTTCTCTCAAGTTAGGCTGGCAGATGTGCCATAAAACAATACCACACAAGGCACAGAGTTGCTTTCTTCCAGCACTGAACGGGGAGCTTCATTAAGTCATGGAAAACAAAGGCTTCCTTGTACCCTGGAGATTCTTCTCCCTTCTACCCAGCTGCCCAAAGCCACTGGAGCCACATTTCAAGGCAGTGAGATTCTTCAGAACAACACCAGAAAAGCAGAACAGTGGGAAGAAAAACTGTGGTGCTGACGGTTCATTCAAGTTGAAGAGCTGAAGACACTGTTGCAGTCCTGAGATAAACAGGTTGGCACTGTGGGTCTGGGCTACTGTTGATCTTCTCATATTCAGGAACTATGCAAACAGGAGCCAGAATTCCTTTGGGATTCACACATAGTTTCTCACTCTGTCCTAGAAACAGCTCTAGCACAGAGTGTCTGCAGCACCTTGTAGGAAGGGGCTCAGAGGCAGTGCTCCAAAACAGGCATTCCAAGAGCCTATTTATGTCCATGGTGCCACTTCTTCAGGCTTACATAGCAGCAGTAAAAGTGTTGTGTCATGAAGGCATCACACAAATGTTGTTTTGTTGAGCACGTAATACACAGCTTTGCCTTAGCTCCACATTTATCTCAGGTTTCAATCCAGGTATGGATTAGCTAGCAGTCCCTGGGTTAGCAGAGCCTCCCCACTGAAGAGCAACAGTTCAGGAGAAGAACTGAGCCAGGCCTGACAGCCACAGGCTGCACAATGCTTGGCAGGGAAAAGGGAAGCTATTTTTGTTTTTTTCTTTGGAACAGGATATAGCTTTTACATATCCTTGCGATCCTACATGGGCATGACGCATAGCAGGGGCTCCCCACTTCTATAATACCTCGTATTCAACATGCTTTATAGGCTTTATGGATTTGGCCTCCTAAGGATGTATTATGCATTTTTACACAAGGTAAGGTCAAGACACACTAAAATGATGTGCGTGAAGCCACATCAAAAGCATTTGACAGAGGAAAATAACTTATTTCAACTCCCATTCACACTTTTTTCCAAATACCAGTACCCACCTTGTCTGTATGTTTCTACTATCCTTTTGCAAGAGACATTGTATCTGACTGCATGAAAGCCATAGCTTTTCTACACGTCTCCCCCAAAACACGAGGGTATAGTCACTGTGCACAACTACCCTAAGCCATGATAATCCCCGGCCAGAGAGCAGGACCACAAAATGCAGTTATCAAGTCCTTGCAGCTTTTATGAACACAAAGAAACAGAGATAACAGCTATTTTCTGGTTCTGGCTCTAAGACAGGAACAGAGTACAGGATACATGTTCTCAGATGAGACCACTCATCCAATATCTACTCATTCTCCAAAAGCAACTAATACCACTTTCCATTCACTCTTACATAAACATGTCTCCAGAGAATTATACACCTGGTATGTTATGTGTAAGCCTTGCAGACAAACTTTTAGCCTTCACAAACTTCAGATCACATCTGCTTTCTGTCAGTACCCAAATTATAGGTCACTAGATCCTCCAGACTTCTCAACAATTCAGTATAATAATTGAAAAACTGGGGTGCAGACGGCCTTTTCCTTCACTGCAGAAGGTGTCGACCCAAAAAAAAAAAAAAAAAAAAAAAAAAAAAAAAAAAAAAAAAAAATTCCCCTGCCAGTGTGTTAACTGTGTTCACCTAATGTCAGACTCTTTCATGAAAGCATGCTCCTATTTTGACAGTGAAAATGAAGAGCACAGGCTGTGATGAACAGAACTGCTAACGCTGTCACCTTGGTACTGATGGAAAATAAAAAATTCAACAGAGGCCTGAGGCAGACCTTAGCCTTAATCCTTCGTTTCCAACCTCCTATAGGTTCACTATGTGCCACACTTAGTGTCTTCATCCCAAGAGGCACCTGCACGGCTGGTGAATGGGGAATTGGGAGGCATGATCAAAATCAGTGAGAGAATCCCTACCCTCACCATCTCTCCCCCTCCACTGTGGCTGCTGTTGGTGATGGATGCAGATGAGATGCTAATGTCACCATCCTGACCTGCATCTTTACCTTTGAAGCGGCCATGACGGCTGCCGTGGCTGCGACGTTCAGCCCCCGCTTCCCGAAGTGCACAAGGGCATCGTAGCTCCGGTCTTTTGCCTGGACAAGGCAGTCATCGATCTCCTGTCACAGCAGACAACAAAACAAAACAAAAAGCACAAGAAGGAAAAGTTCAGAGTACTCCCAGCCTCAAACTCTTGGCAGGGCCAGGTCATCATTTATGGAGGCAGACATCCTCCATTTTTTCCACCTTGGCTGGAGAGAAGTTCCCAGCCAGTGTTTGCAAATAGGAAAAGGTCTGCAGGGGAGCAGTAACTCCCATTGCAGGCCTTGGGAACTCTCTTCTGCGAATGGAGGATTGGGACCCAAAGTTTGGATACACTTGTACAGTGCAACCACCACCAATAGGTCCTGGAAGCAAGGCAAACGCATCCACCTGGGCAGAAAAGACCAGGGTGTGTCAGGAGCCGTTTGCAATCTATGGACTGTAAAGATGAATTGGATTGCCCTGTAGTTAAAAAATAATCATATTATGACACTAGGCAGCTGCAGCTGTATTGCCCTGGGTCCAGGACTGGTGGTCTCAGAAGTATTCGAGATATGTCTGCACATCACTGCAGTGTCCTGCTTCAACATGCCCATGGAATTGGTAGGCTCAGAGCTTCTGGACTTTTATGCTGCTCAATATACAGTGAAATGGTTATGAAAATTGCTGCCCCCACCCTCCCTTCCCCAAGACACAGGTGTCTGGATGATAATGGATGACAATGACTTCTAGTACTCAGCTACTGGATGTGCTGGGTTAGTAGGGACTGGAGGCTGTGAGAAGCTGCTGGCTGTTTAGTAATTCCCTCCATATTCCTAGTAGATAAGAGATGGCAACCCAAAAGGCACGAGCACTACTTGTGAGAAGCATAAGCAGAAGTTCCCAGGAAGCAGAGAGAGAGGGGACTGATTTCCACTGTCCTTCCTGGACAGGACTAAGATACAACTGTTCATGCACTGCTTGTGGCTAAACAGAGGTCTTTCATTTCCACAGTTGCCAATGTGAGAAAGTTATTCACTTCTTAGTAGGTTGCATGTTGATATGTGACTGACAGCTGTTCTTGGCCGATGTATCCACATGAGCCAAATAGATCTGCCTGACAATGTCTCATTCACAGCCACAGGAATCTCCTAGGCAGCCAAATGATCCAAGCTGTAATGCCTGCCCGTCCTAACCCCCCCAAAATTAGCATCATGAATTTGAGCAAGATATTTCTCAACCCAGGACCTCAACATGCTACATGCCTGACTTCAGCATGCTATATGTCTCTCAGCCAGACAAATGCTTCCTAAGCTCCTTTCAGACAGGCTTAGTTATTTGTCTCATTGCTGCAATGTTTTAGGCAGAGCTGGGAACAAAGTTAAGGAGCCCTGCAGACCCTGTTTCTCTAACTGTTATATCCAGCCACAACATAGCACTCCAGCTATATTCAGCCAGTACATGCAAAGCAGCTCAAGAGGTATTTTTATCCCCCTCCCTCCCAACTTCTCAAGTGCACAAAGATAAGTTAATATGTGTGAGCACACTGAATAGATGACAGTATTTAAAAACACAACAACCACAAAGAACAAAAACACCAACCAAAAGGAGATGCTCAAATTATAGAGGAAGAGAATCGGCAACTCCCAGTCCTTCAATGAAAATGAGTGATACAAGGACTGGAGTAAACACACTGTTGATCTGCTCCACCCAGTGAGGACCTGGGCATCTGTGATTACCTTTTCTTTTGAAGACAGCGTTGGATGCACAAATTTCCTGTACAGGAGGCTGGAGCCTTTTGTGTATGGAGACAGCAGCCAAGCTACAAAAGCTATTTTGAGTTCATAGTAGAATGGAAACCTAGAAGAAAAAGAGCTGTTAATGTCCGCTCCCAATTTAACTACTGCCCTTAATTAGAGATGCTCCGCACAGGAAGGGACTGGCCAGTCTAACTTAGGGCAGCTTTTACTTACCAAAGAATCCAAAGACCTAAACACATTCACGCACCTTTGCACACATCACAACTAGACATATGAGTAAATCTTTACTCAGATATCAGAACCATTATTTAATGGTCTAGAAGAGACTCTGCTGTGTGATAAGAGAAGCTTTCTACATGCAAAGAGCACAGATGCTGCCTTTGCAGCATCAACAGTCATTATGAGGGAGCAAAGAACAAACCAGCAAATCATTATTTCATTGATATATTTACGCACCTTTCATCTCTCTGCCTTTCTGCTTTTAAGATAACAGTTATCTGACAAACTGAAATACAAGAACCTTTATTGTCCAAGCAACATAAAGGTGCAGAACCACATTTTCAGGTAGCAGCGCAAATAACTAACATCAGGACATGCTTTGGCTGTAACAAGAAGGCAGGGACTTCTTGAGGTTAGATTATCCAGACTCTTTTCTGGAGGACAAAGCCTAGAGCTCAAGGCTGGCCAGCTAGCAGCATCCTCATGCGGGCAGGCATGTTGTTGCCAGCAGTGTGACAAACCAACGCTACCCTTTGTAAGCAGGGGCAAGCGGGAGCAGCACAGAGACCCTGTGATGGCTGTGCACCAGCCCAGCTGGACCCAGACAGACTCCTGCTGTGCTAGCGCAGCACTGTCACCGAGCCAGCTGGACCATACAGCATCCAGGTCTGACCCGATGGGCCTCTGCAATGCTTTTCTCTGAGCATGGATTTGCCATGTTGGTCTTCCACCTCACTGAGGATCTCTACAGCATGCTTGATTTCACAGGCTGGACAAGCCCTGTGTCTTTCATCCTGAGAGACCCACATAATACACCCTCCAAAAAAACAAATCTCCAGATGAACACAGTGGAGGTAGATCTGCATGCAAATTAGACAGAGAGACCATAACGTCTTTTATCTCCTTTTCAACAGATCTGATGTGTTGCCAAGTATCCCCAATTCCCTTTGTCTGAAAGACTCACTAGAGGCATGCAGTGCTATGCAGGAACAGCCTTTAGGTGAAGGCCGTGCACTACAGTTAAATTTTCATCCTGAAGTCTACTGACCTCACTGGTTTCCACTAGAAAGCCCTTACTACAAAGGGCAACCAAGCAACGAACATTTCCAAACTTGGGCATTCAAATTGAAGGAACTGAATTTGGTATTTCGGCATTTATATGCTCTCATCTTGACAAGAGGTCACCAGGAATCCTTTCACTGGCACCAGAGAGCCCACATCAGTATGGACTGTCGCTGTCCTCCATCAAATCATAAGCCCAGCCTAACCAGGAACAGGCCTGGCAAAACATCCCAGAAACAACTACTCGCATAGCGAACTACAAACAAAATCCTGTGCCACAGGGCTGTTTCTGCCTGATCCCTAGAGTCTGTGTATTTACTGTAAGACACAGCTAGGTAGATCTAGAACTATGCCTGCAGCTAAAGCTTCTGCTGTTTACGTGATTATCTCTGCAAGCATCCAACTTGGCAATCAGCTGCACCCCTCTCTGACAGGCAGGGGACAGAGACTCCTGTAATGATTTCTCACTAATGAGATATCAGTGAGCAGCTCCATCTTCCTTCTTGCTTCTCCTATGACAGCACTGAGAAAGGAAGCATGTCTCCTCTAGACAAAACACCTCTATGCACCTGAAGCTGCTAACCCCATGTTCAGGAGGCAGTACACCTCTGTGACCCCTTCTTCCCCTTGTAAACATTTCCATTTTCTTTCTGTCTCATGCCAAAGACCGTCTCCCATCTGGTGCTCACCAGCAAAGAAAGATATCCGTGAATGTCTCTGCTGTCGTGAAGAGCGCGAATATGATCCAGTACATCATCCATTTGACCTAGTAAACAAAAACAGTAGTCAGTTCGTTTTCCCCCAGGAGCCTTGAACTACCTCTCACAGGCACAAGTACACAGAATAATTCTCACAGAAAAAAGGTTCTTCCCCCACCCCCTTGCACTGTGTATTTAACAATTACTATGGACTTGAAGATGCCAGAGGTCCCCCCACCTCAGCACATAACACAAGTCAGATTTCCACACAGGCCCTTGGGAAGGAGGACTGTGGCCTTTAGGACTGGTGTCATGAAAAGAAGAGCAGCCTGACTCTGTCCCTACAGAGGAAGCTCAACTGGCCAGCAGAGGACCGCTGCCCTACTCAGGGCATTAAAATTCTCACTTGGCTCATCTTAATAGCAAAAATTTATACTAGAGTGTTGCCCAAACTGGAATTAAGACAAAATGTAATTACTTATATAATATCTACAGGCAGGGGAAACTAGTCAGGATGAGATAAAGAGGTTACTTCATAATTTATCAGGAGTCCTGGCTAACTGGGAAGGTCCCAATGGACTGGAGACTAGCAGACATGATGCCCATCTACAAGAAGGTCCAGAAGGAGGATCCAGGGAACCACAGACCTATCAGTCTGACCTTGGTGCCGGGGAAGATTATGGAGCAGATTACCTCGAGTGCCATTACATACTATTTACAGGACAACCAGACGATCAGGCCCAATCAACATGGGCTTATGAAGGGCAGGTCCTGCTTAATGAACCTGATCTCCTTCTATGACAAGGTGACCCGCTTGGTGGATGAGGGAAAGGCTGTGGATGTTACTTACCTAGACTTCAGTAAAGCCTTTGATGCTGTTCCCCACAGCATTCTTATGAAAAAAATGGCTACTCGAGGCATACACTCTGCTGGATCAAACACTGGCTGGATGGCCGGGCCCAGAGAGCGGTAGTGAATGGACTTAAATCCAGTCACAAGTGGTGTTCCCCAGGGCTCAGTGTTGGGGCCACTCCTGTTTAATATCTTTATTAATGATCATGATGAGAAGATTGAGAGCACCCTCAGTAAGTCTGCAGATGACATCAAGTTAGGTGGAGTGTTGATCTGCTTGAGGGTAGGAGGGCTCTTCAGAGGGACCTGGACAGGCTGGATTAATGGGCTGAGACCAATAGTATGAGGTTCAACAAGGCCGAGTGCCAGGTCCTGCACTTGGGCCACAACAGCCCCATGCAATGCTACAGGCTTGGGGAGGAGTGGCTGGTAAGCTGCCCAGCAGAAAAGGACCTGGGGGTGTTGACTGACAGGCAGCTGAACATGAGCCTGCAGTGTGCCCAGGTGGTCAAGGCAGCCAACGGCATGCTGGCCTGCATCAGGAATAGTGTAGCAAGCAGGGCTAGAGAAGTCATTGTCCCACTGTACTCGGCCCTGCTGTGGCCGCGCCTTGAATACTGTGCTCAATTTTGGGCGCCACAGTATAAGAAGGACATTGAGGTGCTGGAGAAGGTCCAGAGAAGGGCAACGAAGCTGGTAAAGAGTCTTGAGAATAAGTCTTATGAGAAGCGGCTGAGGGACTTGGGGTTGCTGACTGTAACAGGCTGCCCAGGGAAGTGGTTGAATCACCATTCTTGGATGTATTTAAAAGCCATCTAGATATGGTGCTCAGGGACATGGTTTAGAAGTCAGCCTGGTAGAGTGAGATAATGGTTGGACTTAATGATCTTAAAGGTCTTTTCCAGCCATAACAATTCTATGATTCTATACTGCCCATCCCATGATGCAGGGCTCAGGAGCACAATCTTATTGAATTAGCAGTGCTTTCTCACATCCACACCCTGAGCCCACTGCAGCAACATGGGCAAGTACATCAGCTTAAATCCCCTACCTGGGGATTAGGTGAGAGCATTTTACCTCACGCTGGTAGTGAAAGCATGTGCCGTGCTGTCACGGTGTTCAACTATGGTAACTCCACTGTGGGGTGGATCGCTTGGTGGGCAATTTATGGACGGTCTCTTTTGCAGTGATAGTGACAGACACCAAAAGAGTCTTTGGGGACCGGGACTTGGTCAGGAAAACTGTAGTATCTCGAGTAATTCACTAATCTGGGGATTTTTGTCACTGAGCACTAAACGGCATTTAAAAGCACAGCTAAACTACACTGATGTATGCAGTATTGGTTCTTGGGCTGTAAAGAAACAACGTATTTGCCATATGCCATCAGCACTTCCAGTGATTTTTATCAAGTGATGTGGTGCTGCTCTTCTGTGGCACTGTTGCCACAGAGATGATGTAAGGAATAATTTCCAAGTATTGGAGATGAGAGTGAAACCTTTTATTCTCCCTTTTCCATTTTTTTTTCATTGTAAAACTGTAAAACTTAAAGTTCAAAACTTACAGTTCAAACAGCTTTAAGAATCTCTCTCCACAGGAAAAGCGATGGTAAGACACAAGTCGTTAATTTAACTGAAAATTGTTGTCTAATAAGCTATATTTAGAAATGGACATCCTTAAGCAGCTTTGCTGGAATGTGAGAAAGCTTAAGGAAGTAAAAACCATGAAAATCCATGAATTAGAGAACTGGACCGTGTTACCTAAGGTTGGGATAATTGCAACAGAATAAGGGAAGGCTGGAAATAAGGCAGTACAAGAGGGATACCTACACCAGGTGCTCCTCTGGGGATGGGAGAACGGAGGTGGCAATAAATCTGGATCTCACCAGTTCTGAAATGGCTTTCCTCCATCTTCTCCCCAATGCAGTGGGGACAGTACCTGTATTCTCTCTCCATCTCCATGCAGGTACTGAAATTATTCCCTGAGCACCTGTCATTCAGCTATATAACTGCTCTGCTGGGATTTACATGTATATTTATATTTAGTGTTACAGCTGTAGAATGGCACTGCCAAATGCCTGACAGCATTGTCTTCCCAGGGCAGCTTCTGCCAGACTTTTTACATAACTGTGACTCCCTCAAAACCTCACTGCCAGCACAGTTCTGTCAGTTAGACATTACTGCCAGCAAAACTTTTAAACACAAACCAAGACCTGGTGCGGATGGGCTTGAATCAGCCTAAAACACCATTTATCAAAATGGCTATTACCAAGCAAAATAAAAATAAACTACAGTGATATAAGTTTTGACTAGTTCATGAAGAGTTTGTACTGTGTCAGTGTAAATTACTACAGTGCAGACCAGGTCTTAGATTAGCTGTTCCCACATTTGGGTCATGTCCTCATGTGTCTGACCGGAGTTCCTCTTTTGCAATTGAATTCCCAACAGGAATTCGACCCTTCAACAAAATAGTTTCCATAAAGGTACTATGAAAACATCAAGTATCAGTGGCACACAATGCTTGGGGATGCTAGCGCACATCTTCAGCATTTCCAAGTAAAGTGTGTACAAACCTTGAGAAGCACAGCTGTGCGAGGTCTGCGGGGACATTTTGCCTTAAGTATCTGATGTGTTCTGTAACACTTATGATTCCCAAAATATCCAAAAACATTATCTGAAGGAAGGGACTGACAGAAAGCAAAAATCTCAGCAACACAATGAGACCCAGTTTGACTTTCACTAAGGACTTAATGGGATAGCCATCTGTGCTGCTACCCAGAGGAGAAAATGGGCTTGTTATCCTTGGGATCTTGAGAGGATTGAAGAGTCAAGATCTGGAGGCTGAACAGCGAAGTTAGAGCTCAGGTTGTGAAGGGCACTACAAATCTTACTGGAACCCAACAGCATCCAAGTGGTTTTGATTCTCCCACATTTCACTTCCTTGATGGTCCCATGTGCCTTTAGAAACTGGGGCCCGGGGAAGATTTCTCAGCAAAAGGACAGGACAGCACACCCAGTTGCCAGACCTGCCTGTAAATAGGTCATCCCACAAGGAAGGATGTTTCTATGTGAGGATTCAGTCACATTTGCTTCCTCTGATCCTTGTTTTGAATGAGCAGCTAAAGCTTCAAGGCTTTTCAAAAAGGCTTTGATTTATGCTGCTCTTCAGAAACAAAGGAAAACACGCAAAGCTCTGGATGCCAAACACCTTTTAAGTCAGCCGTATATAGCTCGCACCACCAGAGAAACAGCATACATTTGTCAAAGAGCACATCAACTCTGCAGAGGAGCCAGAAGCACAAACCCGAGTCTCCTTATTTGAGTCTTGTGCCTAGCAATCAGCTGGTCCACCTTCAGGCCAGCCTTCCCCTTACTGGTTTATGAGCTTTCCCAGAATACAGGCAACACCTTTACAATGTGGTGAGAAGCAATCTTAGAAAACAAACCCTGCAGCACAGTCACAAACCTCATTACTCACATATTCTTTGATGTCCTTTGATTTCACGGCTTTGTAAGAATAATATGCGGGGTAAAGAGTGCCAAATATAAGCCTGGAAAAAAACAAACAACAAATAGATTAAATTGATTTCCAGTCACAGAGAAAGATATATTTTTTTCCTGTCTGTTAAATGTGTTTCTTGCACTAGTGAAAAGCATTAGGATGTGATTTAAGCTTGAGTGCACTAAGTACAGTACAGGAGTGATTTTGCATCACTGAATTCAGAGAAACTATTGCCAGTGACATGAATGAAGAGCAGGGATTCAGGTTGACTTTCCTTTTGCAACGGTTTCCACAGCTGTACCTTATGAATTACACACAAAACAAAGGAAACAAACCAAACCAAACCAAAAAAGGCCACCACACTTTTAAAAAGAAAATGAAAATCTGATTTCAAATTAAACTGCTATGACACCAGGAACATAGGAGTCTTGCTTTCAGAGGCAGGACAAAATAAGAATCATTTGTCTAAAATCCCTTCCACCTCTACTCATTACTCTGAAAAGCTGAAGGAGTTCTACCGACACAAGGTTTTGAATGCTGGGCCTTATCCTACATTAAATCTGCTACAGGGAAGAGCCCTGCACTGTTTGGTAAAGTCAATTTATGCTCGTCAAAGAAGGAGAAATTTGCCCACCAAGATACACCAACAGGATTAGACCTAAAAACCCCAGTTCTACTGTTCTTTCAGACAGTTTCCTTTAATTTTCAAGTCTGGAAAGGATGCTGTCAGCTTCAAGATTTCATGTAAGAAAGAAATAAGGATCCGTAAGTTAAAAATAGCACTACTGAGAGAAACATCGAGATTTTTTTATACTAACTCCTCTCTGCATCACTGCCTAGCAGCTCATTCACTTCGATTATTCTGGACATAAGCATAGGCTTGTCAAAACCACTTTGCCCTGCCCAGGTTTCAGTGAGTTTTATTCAATGCAGTAGGATGATGCTGCAAAGTCTGAATTTAATAGATTGCAGGGGAATGGTTATTGGCTTGCAACTACCCCTCTTTCCACTGGAGCTTTTGCTTTAAATTCATACAGCTGTTTCCACTGCTCTTGGGACTGGAAATGATCAATGTTTCAATCCCTAATTGTGAAGCCACATGGACCCACAGTCGTCTTTTCCATCTTGCCAGCAGCGTTCGTGTGCCGTGGGACTCATAATTACAGTTGAGTCCATTACATGCACAAGACATTAAAAATTAACATTCTGGGATATGGTGTACCATCATACTTCCTGTAGCTCAAGAAGGTATTTGTGAAAGAATGGGGTGAGCCAGCACACATCTTGATTTCCAAAGCAGTGACCGAAGACAATTTGCGTGCTATTCATCATGCTTACTGTAGCATAGCTTAGCAAAACCTGAAGCACAAAGCAGACCTCAGAAAAGCAGCTACTGAGTGAAGAGATTCAGTATTTTGCAGAGGCTTCACACTGGCTTCAAAATGCTTTGCTGGAAACAGTCAGCTCTGAACATTTTTCACCTACAGGGGCTGTGCTATATGCAAGGATTAGATACAAATGCTCAGAAAGGTTCTGGGAAACCACATACATTTTTGTCCCTTGCAGTATCTTAACAAACTGCAACATCAGTTAAGGCAAGGAACAACACACAAACAATAGCTTGATCCTGTTCTCACTGAAGCTAATAACAAATATTCCCTCTGAGTTCAATGGTAGCAGGACCTAATCCAAAGAAGGTAGAGCTCACAAAAGGAAGCAAGCTCCACAATATTCAGAAACTAACAGCTGAGCGCATGAATAATATTTTTGGCTCTACTTATAAAAAGTACCGCATTTCTGTCCTTCCTTCTTGGCCCAGGCCAGCTGCCATCTCACGCTTTTATTTCCTGCAAATAATCACTGAATGATTGATATTCATTTCCTCAGTTTGTACTGGTAACAGAAAGTAACTGGATCCTGAAGAAGCAAACAGTTTACGTGATCACTAGAAAAGAATTAGTTGCAGACAATAAACACTTGAAAAAAAAAATCCTATGAGGGAAGGAAACTGTGCAATAATTTTGCATATTCAGAGCAAGGGACAGTTAATAAGGTGATGTGCTCTCCCTAAATTGGAGACTGAGAGTTTCACTGATTTGCCTGGTAGCGTGTTGTGTGCATATATGGACATTTATTACTGCTATGGTTTACCAGACTGAAAACTGTTTTAAGGAATGTTGGATCCCAGTCTTGTCACTGCTGTAGCTTACTATGTGGCTTGGAGTCGCTTAACCTCTAGATACACCCTACAAAAGATGTTTAGGCATTTCTGTAAAGCATATTCAGGATTTTGGAGACAAATACCTGCACATGGGCATATTCCAAAATTTTTTCTTGAGGTTACTGTCTTCAGAGGGCTTCGGATCAGGCTTGAGTACAATTGATTTAATTCAAACACACACGTCAATCCTCTATCTCTTCCCTCGGTTCCTCTCCCCTGCTGAAGACAATACTTCTCTCTTCCCCCTCATCCAAGCTTCCTGTATATTTAAAGTTATCGTTGATTCATGCTTTCCTTTGTCCCCATGCTCAGACTGTTGCCAAATCACTCTTTCTGCACACTATACACAAAACCAAGGCTGATATTTTGTCCCTCTGTCCAAGCCACTAAGCCATTTCTTGTCTAAGTCTTCTTTCCAGCCTCCCTTGCGTGCTTTACTGCTCTCTACCCCACCTGGACACAACAGTGTTTAAACCTCTTCCCCCTGCCTCTTACACACACATGCACCCAGAGGTGACCCTTGCCTACCAAGCTAAAGTAATAATACTCCTATCCTTGACTTCCAGGGCCTGAAAACTGTTGTTGCTCCTACCTACTATTGGTTTGGTCTTTTATCACACCCCACCTCAGTCTCTTATCTCCTTTAATGGCTATAGTGCCACGAGCTTCTTACTCTGATATACCTTGTATGTCTTCTTCCACACCCTGGAGTTCCTGTGCTCCTTGCTCCTCCATTGCGTATCAGCCCATTACCTCTAAAACAAGCTGCTTCCTGACAGTTACCCTGACAGCCCACACCACACAAATTCCAACCATCACATTCCCCAGTTCCCCCTCATTTTTCTCATCTTCTTCTGCAACACTCCAGTTCTACCTGACGGTCTCTGAACCACACCACAGGACCTTCAGCTTTCCTCCACGCATCCTCAAAATAGCAGCACAGACCCTCAGTTCCCTCCTGCCACTGCCAGCTGAACTGGAAACGACATGTGCTATGATTCCTTCTGTAGTACATGCATTGATTCTGACTGGTGCCTACCAGTTGGTAAGCTAAATCAACAACCTACCTATGCAGTTAACACTGCAGCTTTTACCTCCTGGCAGGCACTGCTATGAGACAATCTCCTTCCCAGCAACTAATTCTTATGAATAATGTAGAAACATAATATTTGAGAGCTCTCTGACCCATCTATTTTGGCCACAATTACTTTGCAGATCCAAAAGTTAGAAGCAGTGGAAAAACAGACTGCTTAAGCCTCATTTCCTTAGGAAACCAGGCTACAAATACAGAGTCAACCCACTCCCCACCCATTTCCATCTTTCAAAGCTCCTTTGAATGAGCTATGTACCCTGGAAAGCCTTGGCTCTTTTACCCTCTGTGCAAAAGCAGAAGCATACATCCTGATCAGCAAACCAGGGACTCCCAGAGTTTGATGTAGTAATTGCTATGTTTAAAGCTAGAGAGACGTGTTCTTACAGTCTGGGCTAAAACAAAAACATACCCTCAAGGTTACAGGGAAAGGCAAGGAAGTAGTGACATTCATCAGTGAGTTGGGAAAAGCTCGCTTGCAGTACTAAACAAATAACCACAATAGTCTAACAATTCTTACACTGCTCCGTGCTGGAGGTCTACATCAATTACAATTGCCTTGAAAAAGGACAAAACAGCAGCTGTAAAGAAATCACTGAAGAGTTAACTAATTATGCAACAGGAGGCAAAAATCTAAGTAAAAGGTTAGTCTCCCTGAAGAATAGGATAAGGATTAATGCTGAAGATCTTATAATCCTATTAGGCACATCAGAAGCAGCAATCCCCAATCTGGACCGCTACGTGCATTTCCGGTCATTCTTTGTCAAAAGGGACACAGCGGAGGCAGAAGGGGAAAGGAGAAGGGCAACGAAAGTGTGTGGAAGAGCACTGGGAAACATCCATAGGAATGACTGTAAATGCTGTGATTGCTTCTTTTGCAAAGACAAATAACTGAGGTTATTTGCTTCTACTCCTTATGCAGCATAAGGGGATGTTCAACTGAATCAAGAGAACAAAGTCAAAAAGGAGGGGAAAACCCTCTCTATCACCAGGAGTTAATCTGTGGAACTGAATAACTATGTTTATTTATATAATTACATTACATAGGACTTGAGGTTTGGTTTTGGTTTTCATTATTCAAGTTTACCACTAAATGAGACAGGAAAGCATGAAGCTTCCTATATTGTGGGGCTTCCTGATTATCAGGGGAATATTAAAGCAACCAAACTGTTGGCTCCTCTTTAGCAATATCTGTCATATTCCAGGGGAGCAGCTGTACCATCACCTAACCTCCTCCTGCCTCCACTTACCAGTACAGCCACAGCCAGCCCTGGCTACTATATCCTTTTATTCCTTCTCCAGATCTGCTAGCACAGTGATCTGACCACCACAGAACACAGGCTAAACCAGACTTGACAATATTCCTAATAGCATCCAGGTGTTAGCCTGGAGATCAACATCAGAGCTGGTACCAGGACCTGGGAGGGCCGGACATGACATCTGGAGTACTGATGATTTGGTGATGCTATTTTCCTCAGGAGGGGCCTGGTCTTACAGCCATTTACCTGTAAAATTAACTCTCCCATTTTGTACAGCAGCCATGGAAATAAATGGAAAGACTCTCAGGAGTACTGGCCAGGACTCAGGTTATCTCCAGGAATGTCTGCACATCCATTCTCTTAGGTATTTTTAACCACACAGGTATTTTCTGGATGGTAACCTACTGTTACAAATATACCAGCTTGGCATCATCCACATCCCAAGCCACCCAAGTTTTGCTCATCTAGTTAC